CCAGGGGCACATATTTACAAATAGGTAATTAAATCTGATAGGAATTTTCCTGAAAAGCTATACATTTTCCCTAAATTATGATATGGAAGAGTTGATTTAATGCATGCACAATTTATGTTTAATATATTTTAAAACTAAATTTTCTTATTTTTTGTATCCAGTCAATTGGTCATTAGATAAAATCTTGATCCTTTTATTTTAGGTACTTTCAAAATTATGTAATATTTATTAGTACAAATAACAATGTTCTGAGATGCATATAGGTTCACAATAGCTGCTTATAGAGACTCTTGGTCCTTTAAAATCCAGATATATTTGGTTGGAATCTTTGTAATCATTTTGCTTATTAGAGGTCAAACTTTTCTTATGAAACATCCATTATAAGTAAAATTCTACTGTGCACTGTATCAATTGAGCTTTTTTTTTTCAGTGAAGATTCTGCTAACACACTGCATTGACTTGGAAGTAAATTTTGTCCTCTTGTTGGATTCTTGGATTCTTTCTAACACACACACACAAACACACACACACACACACACACACATTACTGTTCCTGAGATTAACAGATTCTACTTAATATGTGATTGACAGAGTAGGATATAGAACTCATAAGTTCATCTAAAATATTTATCAACTGTTTACTTCAGACTTGTGTAAACTTTCCCAATTTAGTAAAATATTTTGTTATTTTCAATTTTAGATTTTTATTTTCTTCAACAATCTCATAAGCATATTGTGCAAAACTCAATGATTAGTGAACACTCAAAAAAACTGAGGATATCTTTATTTCACAATGAAAGTTTATATCATGCTGCAGAGTTAACTAATGATCATATAAGCACTTTTATGTCTTTTATAAAAATTATCACCAATTGCAATACTTTATTTAACTTGCTCTTACATTATATTCTAAAAAGCTAAAAAAAAAAAAAACACATGTACGATATAGTTAAGACTCTCTTTAGTATAACAAGGAAAAAGTTTTAGCATTTTCAAAATAATAGTAACAGTAATTAAAAAATTTCATATATAAACCAAGACATTCACTAATCTCTACTCAGGGTTTTAATATCTAAGACTTCCCTGTTCTATTAAATGAATGATCATCTTATAAAGAACAATTATCTGTTACACATGGGTATGATAAGAGACTGTAGGTTGCAACATATAGAATATCTAGTAGAAAAACACTGGTCACTTGCTGTTATTATATTTTGTACTATAAAATAAATACAAATTAATATAAAATTAAAAGTTCCAAGTATTATCAGTATCATTGAGCTAGTAAGAACAAAAGTAAAACATTGTTGAAACTGAAAATGGGTTCAAAATAGGTTCAACTAAGGGAGCTATAGAACATAATTATTCCATCTCCAATTTGCATTTAAAGTGTTAGGGGACACTCTTGATTGGACTTACAGGCTATACAATAGGCAAAAGTACCCTGTGAAAGATCCTGTTGACCACATGGATTTCATCCTCAATGGTTTCAGCCAGTGAAATTTACTTTTCTTTTAAAATTGATATTGGCTTAGTCATTTATTGTGGGGATAAGTGCATGGAGTACTGCATATGTGGCATATGTAAAGGGCACCTGTGTGGCAAACCACTTACCCAGTAGGCACAGCCCTGGGCAAAAGACTACATGTTGAGGTCCTAGTGCTTGCTCCACAGTCAGCTCCTTGATTGGTCGCTGCAAGGACAGTTGGCCAGAAATTGTATTGGTGGCTGCCTATAACCTGCTTAGCTACTGCCCGAGTATATGTACATGGTAACTATGCAATAAAATCAGACCTGCTTCCAGCTTGGTCTCCAGAGGTCTTGATTTGTGACTCTGCATCCACACTCTCCTCTACCCTGTTCTGTGGATCTCCTCACTGGAAGAGAGGGAGCACACATGATTTATAATTTTTGAAGACCAAGTTTTAGTGTGTTCCACATCATGAAGGTCTAAAAAACACAGTGATTATTCATAACTACTTAACCAAAAATAGTTGTATGCCTTTTTATTTGGAAAAAAAAAAAAAAAAAAAAAACAACACCATACTCTACCTTCAATTTACTTTTTGCCTACTCCAAAGGATATCACCTCTTTGCAACAATATGGGAATCAGTGGCTAAATCTGTTTCCTTGCCCTTTATTATCCTTATTTTACCTCGTTGAATTGGAAAATTCAAAATGCCTAGGCCAAATTTTCAACAATAAACAAATAAACAAAGAATTATTTTCCAAAAAGAATGACAACACAAGTGTGTGGTAACTGAAATATAATAGTTGATAAAAACTAAAACAGGTCAAATAAGAGAGCAGGGACATATTGAATTTTTTTTAAAAAATGCAACATCCCTTTCTAATTTTAATATGACATTTGTGGAGTATATATTGATGAGTCTCACTTCAACACCATCAGAAAGAGACAGAGAAGGGAGGATGACTGAACAGAGCAACCTTATTCATAATCACATCTTCTTTTTATTAGCCACCTGGTAGACTTTCCATTCACCCAAAATGTCTCCAGATTTCTCTCACTCCAAAGATATCAAAAATCGACCTTTCTCAAAAAAAATAATCCAACCAATTTTTTTTTTCTTCACACTACCTTTACGTTTTCAATTCTATAAAACCATGGTATTAGCAACAAAATCTTTTCTCTATTAAGCTTCATACAGTTTTTAAAGTCAATAACATGTTATTAGTGGTGCTGATGATGTAACTCAGGACCTTGTGCATGCTAAGAGTTATCATTGAGCTCTAAACCCACCCCATTTGAGATGATTTAAAATGTAGTTTCCTTAGAAGTTATCTCCACTTCAAATTGAAGTAGATTAAAATTTACTATGCTTTATTCAAAGAAAAGTGCCAGCATAGAGAAATTGAAACTGCAGAATGGTTAAAGCTTGAGGAATGGCAAATACAGTGTCTCACTGTTATATATGAATAATATTAATGAAAAACATTTGTTTGACAAAAACATCAACAATAAAAGTTCTTCCCTACATAAGTATCAATTTAAGCACTAAAGAAAAAATAATTTCTCCCCCATGTATGCAGCACAACGAAAGCAAAATTCCCCCATGTTCTAACCGAACAATGCAGATAAAACTAGAATACAATGGTATTGCATGATCCATTACAAAGTACACAATTGAAAAAGAAAAATGCCACTTTCATCCTAACATATTACTCTTAGAACAGGTTAAACAATAATCACTCTACAATAATCCAACTGGATTTAGCCTCCAGAGAAAAGCTAGAAAAGTTTTGACAGGAAGAAACTTCATTTTCCAGACTCCAGCACTAAGATTGCAATAAGTGGTTCATTTCCAACTGAGCCAGAGATAAACTTGAGTACCAAGACCTGTCAGACATAAAATTTAAAGGACATTGTGGTAAGGGTTCAAGAGTATGTGCATAGGTTAATCTTAAAAACTGACCACCCACATAATAAGCTTCATGTCCTTGAATAAGAACCTTCTATCCCTCCATATGCAGAAAATGGTTCAACCCAGGGACAAAGAAAGAAATGGTATGGGAGCTTCCTTGAGTGGATAGAGACCCTCCCTCAATAATGTTATAATGAATATTCTTCCTGCAAAATCCCTCTGAATTCATATGCACCTTAGAAACTTGAACTTCTTACTATTTGAGTCAATTTCGAGAATAGCAGTGTGATAAATGTGGGCCTGTTTTCTTCTTGGTATCATGGAAACCAATATCCAGAGTAATATACTTTGACTATTGTTTCTTAAGATGCTTAAAGAAGGTAAGTCACCTCATATTAAGAATTGTCTCTAATTAGAGAGAAATATAAAAAAACAGAGCCTAGAAATAGAGACCAAAACAATCTATTTTACTTCAGGGAAGGAGAAAAAATTGAGGCTAGCATTCAATTTCCACTCAGATTCCTCAGGTTTTAGCTCCCTAAAATCACAGAAGCTAAGTTAACTCCGTCTGAAGAAATAACTTTCAAGTCTTGTTGAAACTGTGCCTGCACTTGACACATAAGAAAAAGCTGCCTTAACAAGACAACAGGATTATTTCTATATGGAAAGGACCGAAGCATTTTATATTTACACCAAATCCTACCAATTCAAAAATTTTAATAGGAAAATGCATTAAAAAGGTAAAAATTTAAAATAAAAGATAATAGAATACCTGAGTATACTTTCGTTGCCAACATTTTTCTTTCTTTTTAAATTACCTTCCTCTGATTTTTTTTCAAGTGAATTTGTTGTTACCATTTTGTAGTGATGCATATAAATAAAACTAATAAAAATTATTTTCTAAAACCAACTTACTAAACAACAACCACTAGCATTTGGAATTGTCTTTACTACAAATCTGTCACTGGTACCCCAGAAAAAAATTTACCATTATTTGTAAAATGTTTAGGAATCCCATCTACTTTGGCTGTCACATTCATCCCCTTGCAGAGACTAAGTATTCCTTAAAATAAACTGTATGAAGAGAATGTAAGAGTTGAAAGTTTCACACACAAAAATTCAACATTAAAATGAGGCCAGTGGTATAGTAGCCATCTTTTATAGATACTTTTCTATCATTTACGCTAATAAATAAGGAAGGTTACAGAGAAAGGGAGAAAGAGAGGTGATTTAGTATTTGGCCGTATCACTGGGATAGAAAAATTGTAGCTAGAAAAACAAAATATCCTCTGAAGTTTCAGCATGGTGTCTAATCTCAGATGTTATTAGTCTGATTGTCTGAAGAGTATAAATCCAGCAGGAAGATGAAGACAGAACTTTGCTGAAATGTAAATCATGATGGCTAGTGTCTTCCATGTAAAAATACTGAAATATCTGCAAAATTCAGTTACAATATCTAACAACGGCTTTCGTAAAAGTTCTGGAAGAAAACATGTCACTATAAAAGAAAAACATTTGAGTTAGTTGGGATGAGCATAAATGAACCTACCACAGTAGACAAGAGACTACCTGGGGTTATTTTTTGTTGTTGTTCGTGTTTTTTTGGCAGGCGGCGATCATGGATCCAGCTCCTGCTTCTTCTGCAGCTCCATTTCAGCTGCCTTTTGTACAGCTGCATCTACCAGCAAGCGGAAGCTGCTGAAATCCTCCTACTCCTCTGGCCACACAGATTCAGAAGAAAAGGACTCACTAGTGGAAATCTTGACCTTTTTCTTTGGCTGGGCATTTAGGATTAGCTTCTGCCTTGGGACAAACTCCGGATCTGTAAGCCTCTCTTCTGACTCCTGGCCTACTGGCAGCAGGGACTCAGGCAAGCATTGTACCTTGTCTGGAAGTTTGGCCCCTGACTTGACCTGCACAAAATGATCAGTGCTCTGCTGTTGGGCTTCATCGACGGCCTTGTCTTTAAGGTGGTTAGGGTCGTTTACATCCTGTTGAAGCATTTCCGGGAGAACGCGTCTGCGGGCATTTATGAACCAGTTTGAAATCTGAAGAAATGATAAATTAGTTTGCTCTGACAGCATTCGTTTCTCTGCCTCTGAAGGATAGGCCTTAAACCGGTGCTCATCGAGCCAGTCGCGGAGAATCTTCACGGACTCTGATGGCAGGTACCCTTTCCGTTGCCTCTTGCTCTCTGTTGAGGTTAGAACCTTGTCTGTACTACTGTTAGGTTTCGATGTGATTGAGGTTTCTTGGACCTGGCCTTGGATTTCCGATGGGCTATCCTCGGCGGCCTCCATGTTCTTGAGGACTGTGTTCACAATCTCTGGAAAGTCTGAGGTAGGATTAATGTAGGTCTGGCAGATCCATAAGAAAAGGCATGAACAGTTTTCTAAAGGGAAGTCTCACCCGTTGCTTCCCAGCGAGATGAACGGAGTTGCTAACCGCACAATCTACAGGCTCTGTGACGTCACATCCCCTAAACGCATTACGTGCACTGCCCCTCCCCTCCATTTCCTGGTTCACCCTTGTGCCACTGTTCGGTTTTTTTCCATAGTTTCCAATGCGCATGTTTTCACCCGAGGAGTTGGGAGCTCTTTGGAGTTGTATTTCTCTCCTCCAATTTTTGTTCTCTGAAGAAATCTGTTTTTCTAGTTAAGTCCATTGTTTTCTTTCATTTTGATTTTACTTTCCATGTTCAAAGACAATCTTAAGAATAATTTTAACTACACTTTTGCACCCTACTATAGTGATTTTTCTTCTCTATGACCTTGAAATCTGTGACTTTGTCATGACATCATTGTGGCTTTTGGGTCATGATAGCCAACAGAAATTAAGTAACCAAGAGAAATTGTTTTTGTTGTTAGAAACGTGGAGCACTATAGGTTTTTAGAAATAACTAATTGCAGACATTACAGATTGAATTGATTTAAATTTAACCCCCACAGAGAATCTTCAGTGACTACATCCCCAGAGCTTTTTTTCCTTTTGGTACTAGGGATTGAACCCAGGGGCGCTCAACCACTGAGCCACATCCACAGCTCCTTTTATTTTTTAGTTTGAGACAGGATCCCTAAGTTCCTGAGGCTGGCTTTGAATTTGTAAACCTCAGGCCTCATCTCCCTACTGCTGGGATTACATGTGTGCCACTGCGCCTAGATATCAAATTTTTGAGGCAGAATCTAAGTTAGTTGCCCAGACTGGCCTCAAACTTGCAATCTTCCTACTTCAGCCTACCACTTCAGCCTACCCAGTTGCTGAGATTATGTGCCTCTACCATTGCACCAAGACAAATATTTTCTTGATATTTCAAGTACATGGAACTCACCCCCCCCCCATGTTAGATGAAGCTAATATGTAAATTGTGACTTGAAATAAGCCAAAATTAGTGGTGTGGTTACTGAGCTCTATTACATTTGAAAATAAAAGTTGTCAAGGAGGGCACATTTTTTTCCTTCAAATTTAAATTATCTAGATAATTATTACCAGCTATTGTACATATTGAAACAAATTGAAGAAACATGTAGGATCCAGCAATAAACTTCAGTATTGGAAGGACTGGTGGTATGTGTAATGTATATGAAACTTGAAATAAACCAACAAACAAGGATGAAATACAAGATAATTATTTCCCAACCAGACTTATAGATCTTATAGTTTCTTACTGACTTTGTTCAATTTAAGAAGCAAATGATCTCCTTTGAACTTAAAATTTGTCATAGCATTAATGTTAAGGAAATGTTTTCCAATTTTTAAATAAATCTTGCATGACCTGGTGTTAAAATCTCATGAAGTAGGGCCAAAAAATGTGTCAGATTCACTTATAAAATCATAAATTATTACTCAATAAAATCTTGATTGGGGCTAGGGTTATAACTCAGTGGTAGAGCACTTGTAAGGCACTGGGTTTGATACTTAGCACCTCATAGAAATAAATATATAAATAAAATAAAGGTATAGTGTCAATCTACAACTAAAAAAGAATATTAAAGGTGACTCAAGAAAAATAAAACATGTGAACAAGTGGATTTCAATCCAAGAAAGCAAATATAAGATCAGAAAAAAAAAAATATATATATATATATATATATAGAGAGAGAGAGAATATACACACACAGTTTTCAGATTAATTGCTAAAAATGTTTTATCTTGATGGAAGTTAATGATACACAATGAATTTCTTTTTTTTAGAGAGAGAGAGAGAGAGAGAGAGAGAGAGAGAGAGAGAGAGGGAGAGAGAATTTTAATATTTATCTTTTAGTTTTTGGCAGACACAACATCTTTGTTTGCATGTGGTGCTGAGGATCGAACCTGGGCTGCACGCATGCCAGGCGATCGTGCTACCGCTTGAGCCACATCCCTAGCCCAAAATGAATTTCTGATAAACATGTCATATGAAATCAAGCATAGAAAGATGTTTTCTCCACATAACAGGTTGCACAAAGACTTAAGCTCTCTCATACATAGCTTTGTACTTAATAGTAAAGAAAATGTTCTTTCAGTTTCATGAGCAAGGCAAACATGTTTCATTTCACTACTATAATATTACTTAGAAGTTTGAACCAATAGAATCAATAAAAAGTAAATGCATTATATATAAAAAGGAGACAATATTATTGGTTGATGGCATGATTTGCCACATAGAAAATATTGAAAAATCAGTTCAGAAACTGCTAGAAATAATAACATTTAAGTGAGGTGGCCAGTTAACAAATAAAAGATGAAACAATAACATATACCATCAAACTTATTTAGAAAATACATTGTAAACATTATGTAGTACATAATCGTAAGTAAGAATAAAGATAAGAAAACTTAGGTCTAAAACTAGTTATTACTTTCTAGTCCTATTGAAAGACATATATAGACTTCTATTAAAGATGATAAAATGAAAGCTGGGTGTGGTAGCACATGCCTGTAATACAGAGAGGCTTGGGAGGCAGAGGCAGATGGATTGCAAGCTCAAGGCCAGACTCAGCAACATAGGGAGGCCCAGTCTCAAAATAAAAAATAAAAAGAGCTGGGAATGTGGCTCAGTGTTTGAGCGCCCCTGGGTTTAATCCTTGGTACAAAAAAAAAAAAAGAGAGAGAGAGAGAGAGACAGACAGAAATTAATAGATGTTAGCATTTATTTTCTTCTTGAATAGGAAAAGGAAATATCACTGTTTTAATTTAATTATCTTTATTTTTATATTTTTATTGTTGTTGTTATTATTATTTTGGTACTGGGATTGAACACAGGGGCGCTTAACCACTGAGCCACTTCCCAAGCTCTTTTTTTAATTTTTAAATTTTGAATCAAGGTCTTACTTGTTGAGAGCCACAGTGGCCCCAGCAACTTCTAGCTGATTGGCTCCTCTGCGGTGATGCTCATTGAGCTGTTTCACTGCCCTTTCAGACTGCCAGCTGATGATTGGCTCACAGCAGCCCCAGCAACTTCTAGCTGATTGGCTCCTCTGCGGTGATGCTCATTGGGCTGTTTCCCCACTCTTTCAGACTACCGAGCTGCTCATTGGGGGACTTTTTTTGGCTCCGCCCATGCGACCCAGCCAATCGGCCTCAAGAGCAGGAGGAGTGGGGGAGGTTGAGAGGCTTGTGGGAAGCCGGTGGTAGCAGTTGGGTTCTGAGGGTTTTTCCTGAGGAGCTGTTTTGTTTGGCATGTGTGGTTCTAAAAATAAAGTCTGTTTCTTTTGATAAGTGGCTCCTGAATTGTTCCCAGACAGACTGCGGCATTACTAAATTGCTGAGGTTGGCTTTGAACTTGCAATCCTCCTGTCTCAGCCTCCTGATCACCTAGGATTACAGGCACGTGCCATTGTGCCCCCACTCTTTACAAATATATTTGAATATTTTACCTATAAAATACTTCTACTCTGAACCTACTTTTATCTTCTGCCTTGTTGAAATTTTAAAAAATGTTTCTAAACTTTAGTTGGAGGAATAAATATGTGATATAATTTGGCATTTTTGAAAGAGCAAACTGAAGTAAAAACATTTCTCTTACTAGATATTATATTTGTAAGTAGCAAGTCATTAAAATGACATCATAAATATCACAAACATATATGCATAAACTGGTTAATGAAACAGAATACAAGAACAACCTCATGGACTTTATGGGACTGTGAATGATAGTTAATCTTTTCAATTTCATTGATGAAGAATGCTTCTTCACCCCTGAAAATAAAGAATATTGCGGAAAACACCATAAACCTGGAAAGTTTACTTTGGTTCACTTACAATTTGCAGAAAATTGTAGGAATATAAAGGAAACTATCGTTAATTTCACTTTAGTGAAAATGTGGTAGTGTTAGAAAGCATAAAGAATACTGACAAATTCATTTAATATACTTAGGAAGGATGAAGATGGGAGTGTTATGTTTATATAAAAAATGATAAGTAAGGTAAAGTGAATAGACATTTTAAAAAGAAGGAATCCTTTTGTTTTTACAATAAGTATGAAAGTATTAGGAATTTTATCTCCTATGTAATACTATTATGAATTCCCATGAAATTATATATGTGTTTGTGTAAATATGGTTCTTATGATTCACACAAAAATAATTGCATAAAAATCATTATAAGATTAAAAACTGTATAATGTAGCTATATAGATGTTAGAAATCTCTGTATAAAAGCAACGTTGAAACAGACAAAAACCTTTATAACCATTCTAAAAAAAGGCAAATGATTAAAATATATTATTGGTAATATATATGACATGTAATACATAAATATATTTATTATTGTCCTATCCCCTACAAATCAATAAAGATCTAGATTGTACTAATAGAAAAGTGAGCAAAAATTCTGGACAATTTATAAAAAAAATACAAATGACTGACCTAAAAATTTAATTACTTTTTATAAATAATCAATGACATGCATATAAAAGGAACCTGGGTATGCTTTTCTCATAGCTTATTGGTTAATACTAAATAGATTCTAAAAAACAATATTTTTGAGAGTCTGTTAAAATACGTATATCAATGCACTTTTTAAAAAAAATCCTTATTTAATTTATATATTTTTACATAGTGGATAATTGAATGCAGTGCCTCACAAGTGTGTGAGGCAAGCGTTTTACCACTGAGTCACAACCCCAACTGCTCAATGCATTTTTGGTGGCATTATAAAATAGTATATCCTTTTAGAGCTGTTATTTAAGAATGAGTCAAAGAAAAATAAAGTATACTGTTCAAACAAGGAATGTTTATGGAGTTGATTATGTGGAAAATATTTGATAAAATTATAAATACATAATATACAAAATTGTCTTCACATAGTTTATTATTATTAAATTAAAACAGATTATGGGTTTGATAAAATAAAATAATTCTTGTACTGCTGAAAAGAATCTAGTAATTAAGTTCAATGGCATAGACATGTAGTCAAATGTAATGTGTGGAGGATGTCAAAAAGCAATTCAAAAACAGCATGCAATTTTTTATCAATTTTTGAAAAAAGAAAGTCAAAGTACGTACATGCACAAAATGTATGCATTGTGCCCATGCCCTATTTGTGTGTGATTATGGGTGTAGAAAAATATCAGTAATTTAATTCCTTAGGCT